GATGTCGAGGGCATTCTTCATTTTGTTTGAAGTATTTTCTTTGACTTTTATTGGAACTTATCAAAATGGAAAAATGCTGGAAAACACAGTAACCGTATACCGTGGAATCATGGGGTCCAACACGAGTGAATAACAGATATACACACACAGTAACCGTATACCGTAGAATCATGGGGTCCAACACGAGTGAAGAACATATATACACACACAGTAACCGTATACCGTGGAATCATGGGGTCCAACACGAGTGAAAAACAGTACCGCGAAAGAAAGAAATGAACCATACTTCAACGTCAAGATCTGATCTAATATTGTACAATGTAGTGAGTTCATTGTTCTGGTGACGATTTCTATTACACAAAGCTAAGTTGAGTACTCCCTGCATCGACAGACTCCGTGACTACTTGTTGAATTTGCAAGACCACGCCCTCTGTTGTCAGACTAGTAATCTATGTCGTTCATAATTGTTTGAGGCGCATGTAGTTATTACTTGGATAATTAGTATTGCTGAAAAAGTAGAGCGAATTATAATCTAGAACATGTTTCTTTTTTCTAAATTTGTGGTAAATGAAGTCAACTCACTAAAGACTGGAACAATAATTTAACAGAATTCATTGCGATGATTTAATGGAACGCGTGACAGTTCTATTAACATCATGAGGTTTCATATTTAATCAAAAACACTCAAAAATCTCCCGAGGGTTGAAAAAAGGTTATAAGAACTGAAGAAAAAAGAAAAAAAGGAAAACGCAAGAACACACATACATACAAAAACAAAACAAAAGAATGAACCACCTAAACTATATTCATGGATTATCGTTCGAATCGCGCGGTTTTACGAGCCCCATGTAAACATATAAACGAACCATGGCTAACGAAGATGTCGAGTGAGAGGGATTTAAAACTAGGAAATATAATTTAAAATAAATATAACTACTATTTAAAACTATGAGAATATAGATGTATGATATCTAGTGTTGTAATAATGTCATTTAATCACATATATTAGAAAACAATCCAAGGTTTATGATTTAATTAAATATATATTATTTCAAACAATACGACAGTTGATGGCGAATTCGAAGTTCCAAAATACGTAGCTGAATAATTGTCAACACACTCAAATGTTAATACTATTTTAGTAACAGTGCTAATACACTTTGATTGGTAATGCATAATTTTGATTAGATATTTTGGAATTTTTTAACCAAAAAGATAGTCTGTTTCAATTTTTTTTAACGCGGCAAGAAAACTTAGTGATAGCGTTTAGATTGTCGCAGTTCATTTCAACTCCTTGGCGTCACAGTTCACGAAACTTCGGCAAACGTATTATGTAGCACCTACATACCACGTGTGCGGCTTAAAGGGTGGTGATATTCAGCGCACATAACACCGAGAGTGCAGTGTGCTATTGTTCCTTTACAAACCACGCCTGAATGCCCCGTAGATGTAATAATAGCCTAGCCAGCCAATAGGTCGGCTATTCATTATTCAGTAGCTGAAGCAGTCCGATGTTGTCAGTGGTGAGAATAACTTGAAAGCTGCAGAATGGAAACATTGGTATCGTTTCTGTTTTGTACGGTTCTGGTGGCGTTCACTTGTATCGCAGAAGCCTCTGACGATATTTGTAAGTTGTAGTTCATTTATTCTACGTCCAATGGAACAAAGTGTCATGTCTTTGTTGTTTACGAAAGAGTTCAGTTTTAATCTGCGTAGGCTTTACCACCGTAGTCACATAGCTGACAAACTAACCCATGGTGACAGTGGTGGATTTCTCTTCATTAGTGAAAGTATTGAACTAATTTTAGCATGTATTTGCAATCTACCTGGCCGCACCCCAAAACGGGGTCACGACGGTTAAGGTAAAGGTAAACGAGAAAAACCTGAGATACTGTTTAACGCCGTTTTTCTACTATGAACTAATAGAGTGAACAGCAGAAACTACATCTGCTACACTCTTTCCGGAGCCAAACCGCTCCATGTATGTGTACGACTATAGCGAAATGTCGTTCAGTAACTGTCATACAACCACTCAACTGTATATGAGATCAGCCATTACAATCGTTCTTATAGGTGTGTATTGTAATGTTAATCAAGGCGCTCACAGATAACAACCCCTCGTTTCTATACCAAATACGCTTCACAGCTGTATTGGGAGTAATTTTTTCCTCGCCAAGTGACAAATTGACAGCCGTTCGAGCAGGGACATTAAAACTCATTCGTAAAGTAATGTTGACACTTCCCAAACAACTGAAAGTACCATTTGTCTTGTGGATAATTTATCAACACTGTCACGGTGCGATGTCACCATTCTCAGGTCACTGGGTGAACGGTCATATGAATGACTACGGAATTGCCAACCGCAACGACTGCATATATCCTGCACCACTGCGTTAGTCTATATCCTGTATCGGAGCTCGCAGCAACTTGATCACTGTGTGGTGCGTTGTTACACTCCGTGTCCGGGTTGCCAAGGCTGCATCGTTGTCATGATAACGTGGTTATTCATTCAAATCACAACGTACAAACCTCATGTTTAAATGAAATCGATCGTAAGCGTATCGTTTAGGCAACAAGGGGTACATTTTGGGCTGTTGGCCTTTTCGTTCAATGAACAATAACTATGAATTATAGTGTTAAATTCTCTCTTAAAGGGTGGCATTCGTCGCACCGCGCATGCGTGAGATATATGGGTCTCATATAAACAAATATGGCGACTTTGGCTGTTGCGCAGATCAACGAGTAAACTGAGACGTAACTAAGCTTTAATTAGATATTTTTTTAGGTGATTGGAAGGTATCTAAGGGGTCACCGGCGGTAATCAGGGCAAGTAGCGCCAGGTAAAACTTCATTCTTGTGATATTCATTAGAAGAGCGCATTGAATTATGGGAACATCAATGTTTATTAACACAAATGTCGCACATGCGCATCGCGACGACTACCACCGTATAAAATAAAAATGTAACTGTTCATATAGTATTCATAACAAATAAAAACACTCTATGATTTCAAATTACAAGACAGTAGTATAAGTCGTAACACCTCGTCCCAAATTAGCATTGTCATGGCTACTAACTGCCATGGTGTGAATATTGATATATTGTCACGGTGGTTTTCATTCATAATTCTGAAGGTCAATGATACAGTCCTAACTGTGTCACAGAGGTTAGGGTCGTCGTTCGCGGACAGTCGACTAAATAGCTCGAAAAATAATTATTAAAACACATCACCTTCATTTGTTTTTCATAGTTAGAAATATTTGCGCAGGAAAAAAACTATACTTGGTCATTTCTTCATAAAAATACAAAGTATTAATAAACATTTCTCAATAATTCTAGACAATCATAAATATGTATCATATAGCTACATATGATCAACTACACACGAGACCTTTTTTTACTACATGTATAGAGTATCTGTTGGCGAGAAAAATGTAGTAAATTTCGAAAGGTAAATTTTTGTATGAAAATTGTTAAAAAAGTAATTCATCTATTTTAATGGTAACCAACTACTTT